GTGCTAGGGTTAACAAACATATTCTCAGAACCAAAAGGAGACCTTAGTTGTGGCATGAATAATGACAGGATCGCATAAATACTTGTTTGGCGTAGAAATGCATATTATACCTGATCATCAGGAGTGAAAGCTTAATTTAAAAACAACAAAGTCACTCACTCTATCATGAGCAGCATTAATTCATAGATGGAATTAGGGATTGAGTAATTGCATTTTCAAATCAAGCAATGGATGTCTAAAAGCACATTACATGTAGATTTTCTACCACGCTATTTATGCTGCAAAAGACCGTTCAACAAAATCAATTTTATATTGAATCAACCATTGCCTATTGAAATAGCATAACTTGGGAAGGATACTTGTTAGTAGTTCGAAACTGTCATAAGTGCGGTGAAGAGTTTGCAGTACTTAGTGAAGATGTAGATTCCCTGACCTTTAAAAAAAAGAAAAGATATCTCATCTCATCGTGAAGGATTTTTGTGCTCCAATGTTAGAGTAATCATTTCGCCAACACTCGGTCATGCGGTATTAAGCAAATTTCACCCAACCCATCTTAGAAAACAGAAAGTAGAATCGTCAGAGTTACTGGTGGCCTGTTTGCTTAAATAAGGTGTTGTACAGTAAACCTATTTGGAATAATTGGTTTGCATCTATGAACAATGGTAACATATTCATGAAGATCAATACAACCTATGTGTAAACTCATATTTTGTTTCAGTTGTTATTGATTCATATTCCGAATGGCCTGAATTTATACTCTGACATTCTAACGGAAACTTTGTCCAAAGAGCGATGAGGAAGATACATAGCTGTGAAGAGATACTCCATGTAATAGTAACGGATGACCTCACTTCACAGAAAGCGTTTACCGACTGACTCACTGATATTGGATGCTAACGTCAATATCTCATCCACAACATTCTCATCCTAATTATTTGGCTGAAAATTGTCCCCAAACTTGTAGTGTGGCGTCGAGTTGCGTTTGATTATGATGTGTAACTACGTTTAATGCTCGTTAGTCGCCGCATGCTCTCCAACTAATTCCATTCTTTTTGCGCACCATGTGAAGATGTGAGGCCCAGGGTCTGTGAGAAGGACGAACAATACCAGTAGCTAGCAAATTGTCAAACTCATGTTTAACGAAAGCTAGCTTGTCCAGTGCCAGTCGGCGTGGTCGTGCCGTGACTGGGGGTCCGCGGGTGACTATGTGGTGTACAATACGATTGGTCACCGATGGAATCTCCTCATGTGGTTTAGTTAATGTGGAGAATTTCTCGAATAAAGCGTGGAATTTATTGTCACGCGAATAAAAAGTGCCTAGGATTCGGTACGCGTTCGCGTGGGCTTTGCAGCCCATGCATTTGCTGTCCGACGAAGTATCGAATAGCTGCAGCATACGTGAATCGACTAGCGATTCGTAGTGCTGTAGGAAATCAATACCGAGTATGGTTATGAGAACATCGGCAATGATGAACATCCACAGATACTGTCATCGGTTGCCCATGAGTTGTCGTGTATCATAGGTAGGAATGGCTGAACCATTCGAGGCGCGTAGTCGAAGCGTCGTAGCTTGTGACTTGCTGTTACCAAGAGGTACGACAGTAACATGGGCACCAGTATCTACTAGGTACCTAGCGTTCGTGCGATAGTTGTGCACACAAAATAAACGACCAACCTGGGGTAAAGGGCCGGCGAGTACGGCCGCATCTACCCGCCGGCTCGGGAGTTTCCCGCCTTGTCTGAGCAAGGGCCTCAACAACGGCAGGTAGCAGACTCGAAAGAGCAGTGAAACCAGCACCGACCCCCACTCGCCTCCGAAGCTGCCATTTGGCGTGGCTTGGAAAATGCCCTCGTTGAGCGAGTGGTTACGGCTTTTCGAGGGACGTAGGGTTCGGGTAATAAAAGCACCAGTAACACTGGCTAAAGCCAGGTACTACAATATATACGGATATTTGGAGAGCGTACAGACTCCTTCATAGGCTTGGCTTTGTGCATCGTATCGTTATCCACAGGTAGCATTTTGTGCACTCAGCAACCGGAGTGCACATAAACAATACTGAAGCTATGTGGTCAAGGCTGAAAGAGTTTTCGAGACTTTATCATGGCTCCAGAAGCTGACTATTCTGTAGCCGTATGGATGATTTATTCTACTGTATGCATTATGATTTTAAAACCTCTGTAATATCCAAACTACGGTTGGACTGATGGACAGCTGTCTGAATGGCTTAGATTCGCGCCCTTGCCCGTTTGAAAAAAAAACAAAGTAATTGGGTAAGATGACGGTTCTATAATTTATCATAAATTTAAGTGTACATTATTACCTTAACAAATATAACCACTCAGCTATCCAATCAATAATTGTTCAATTGATCAAATCTAAATTACAATAAATAAGAAAGTTGATAAAGGATGCAAGAAAATTGCCAATCATCACAAATAAACGTTATTCTATCCTGTCTGGATAAATCACGTACAGATTCGTTCAAAAGGTAATAATTAGTCGCTCTATAACACGATGTGTTTTCAATTCTGGAAGAGTGCTTCCATTCACAACCAAAATGCACAATTCCAGTCAACACAGGTCAAGCAATCAAAAGCAGGAACAAACCAATGTGGCTGCCGCCCAAACTTAGTATAAAGTAAAACAACATAAGTGCAGTTCGGGAATAAACACGGGGAATTAGTTAAGGTGTAGTAAAAACAAAAACTATAATAAAATACAAATAGTAACAATTCAAATAAAGTCAAAAAGTTAACAATGTACAACTAAGAGGATCAATAGGAACACAGTGCAAGTATATACATGGAGGGATTTTCCCAAACACACAAAGCATTAAAAATGGATCTTACAACCTCTGAGCTTCTTTATAACCTTGACAAGTTTCTGAATAACATATCAAAAGTGTATCCACTTTATTTCCCTAGATTTGGCTCACCAGTTGTAGTGTGGCGTCGAGTTGCGTTTGACTATAATCACCACTACAAAAAGATTGAGTACCAGGACAGGCCAAACCTCCGAGTAAACCAGAAATCAGAAGGCGATTAATGGTTGTAGCGAGATATATTTGTTGGCGATCTCGTGGTGTCGAAATAATACCGAGATCGTGCCAAAGGAGTACAAGCAGAACTACTGAGCAAAGGGTCACAATCAACGGAAGGAAGAATGTCTTTAATACAGTGAAACAAACAAGTATAGTAAAACAATCACTGGTACAACTGGTTATAATAATAATTGTTTCCATTAAACCAATCGCGTTCTCTTGATAAAAGTAGGTCACTACAATCTCATATAATATCAGCGATAGGAAAACTCATTGACAATTTCTTACTTCAATATCACAAAGTTGAACATTTGGGGAATTATGACACCATCTAAAATGTCCACTGTCGCACAGTTCGAGATTATTCAATGAATAAAAAACCACCAGAAGTACTGGTTTATCGAGGAAATGACTACTGACTATCTACAGGTATTATTATTAAGAGAATGGATAACCGAATGGTAAAGATTCTTGATTTGAATGACCGTGTAGTTCAGAGTATATATAAAGACTAAGAAAAGATCAATGTAGTAGGTTATCCGGATTTTGACTGTGACAGTGATCTGACCAATCCTTACCCTGTAGATAATGCTGGACTTCAGAGGGATAGCTCGAATTTCAACTTTATTGGTTCAGATAATTCCGATTTTCGGACCGATCAAGAAAATGAAAATCAGAATGCTGACCAGCTGAGATCTGACAGAATCATGATCAGATCTAGACAGGAGGCCGTGTGGTGAATAACTAATCCAGGTACTACACAATTATATATTTCATGTTTTAATAAAATTTCCCTACTGCGCACTTTATATCCGAGTCTTGTCGAAGTTCTGCACCAACTGGTATTAGTATTGATTCATTACACTATTTCAAAATTCACACGTTCCTCTTGTTGGTCCCAAACTGATGCGAATTGTGAAGGTTACTTTAAACACTCCTGTTTCTAACCAGTGTGAATTCGAAGCAATGTAGTTGGAAACGAAACTACTGTATAAATTTAGATGCACACTATTATCTAAAAAATATTGCCACTCAGTTGCTCAACCAACTCAACTAATGAAATTGCGTCAATTACATAAAATATGGGATATCACATGCTCACCAGTTCTAAAAATAAACGATCTATTTGTGCAGGACCATCAGCCCATCCTTTCTGGACTGATCACGTACAGTCCGTTCACAAAGTAATATTTAACTCTACAAAAGTATCGGCAACAAAGTACCAAGGATTGTGTGATTACTTGTTACAGCAAATATTTCCAGTTCTGGAAGGTTGCTTCAGTTCACTATCCAAAATGCACATTACCAGTCAGTTCAAGCAATATAATGAAAGAGGAAACAAATCAATGTGTCATCCGTCATAACCGAATGTTGGGTAAAACCGCTGGTTCTTAACCATACGATTCTCGAAGCCAAACATATGATAACTAAGAAGACCTACGTTAAACATTAAACACTTGGAGAAGGTAAGATATTGTGGACATAGAGGGAAGCGAGACTCCATGAATTGATCGTGCAGGTGTAGTCACTCAGTGTTACATGCTTTGCCATATTAAATACATTTATGTATTACATAAACACGGACTACACGACCTCGCACAGAACAAAAGCAGGCGTTTTAGAGTCTGCAAAGTCAGTACATGACTAATTGTGGCGAGATGAAATCATAATTCAATCTTTGAACGAACTTTATTTTGTAAAATAATTGGGACGATGAAGGTTTTTTTTAACAGTTATGAAACTGTAGTGGTGCAAGTGGGAGGCAGCATGCAATCAGTAGTTATATCACGAGGTTATAATTGGAAAATTTTTATCGTATTGTGGTTGAGCGATTATTAGGACTCTTCCAACCCCAATAAAGATACACTTCCGTTGAAAACAACTGCAAGATAAAACTAGTATACACCAATTGACAAAGAAAACAGGTAGACAATAGCACATTTTATAAAAATACAAAGTCTCAATATATCAGGTTTATTGAAAGGAATATGAGGTCAAGTTATTTTCTCAACTGCATACAGTTTAATATAAAGCAAAAACGTAAAGTTTTACAAAACAGTATTGTAAAAAATTCTAAAAATAGATCTGTACGTGTTGAGGTATAAAACGTTATTTGGAAAAAAAAAAAGAAGAAACACAGTTGCAAAGTTCTACACATATAAAAATATCACTGTATAGTGAAATGTACACGTAAACGTGCATAAGTCAGAGTTTAGTTTGTTATAAGAAAAAGAAAATACATAACGATAAAAAAATTTAAAAACTGGTTCCCATAAAAAAATGTAAGGGATCATACAAGAAAAGAATATCTACAAGTTAAAATTATATTACAAATAGGTAACATCTGTTAAAAACGTCAGTCATTTTTCTTGAAATACTTTGTGATTGGATTATGCGCAGAAGGACACATTGTTGTCATTCGTCGACGCCGAGAATTCTATTTCCAAAAAGTAAAAATAATAAATTTGCAAATAATACATTTATAGAAAAACTAAAATAATTTATTTTATTCTGTATATTTAATGCACATAAAATCTAGGTAAAAACGTCTACTAAATGCCATGGTACGGTTGAGAGTTGAATTTTACTACGCCGATGAAATCTAGTAAACGACTACGTGCTTATCCATTCTCCTAAAGAAAGCCCGGAAATTATATTCACATGAAGAAAGTGACTCTTGTTAAATAACATGGGAAAGCGGACATTCAGTTCGGTGGACACGGAGGGTTCATCAAGGGAAGTTGCGAAGTCAGTGATGTTTAGTCAGCGACTACAGACCTAACAGATAAATAAGGTTATTTTATAGTTTTTTTGTAGACTGAGTTAGCATAAGTGAATGGTGGAGTCAGTATGTTGACGTTGGTCTAAAAAGGAGGTAATAAAGGATTGTTGGAACCAAAAAAATAAGATGAGAAATGAACGTAGCGGACAAAACTTTATCAGTTAGCAAAATAAATGTTTTGAAATACTTACAGCCACTGGAACAACAGGAGAACTGCTGGGAGAAGCAACCGATTGTGAAGTTGATGGAAATGCAGTTAACCGACGCCTTTTTTCTCTGACACGATTAACACTATTAGGTAAATCAAATCTACCGGAATTGAAAAGTGTTGGACTTGAACCAGGAGAAACATCAAATATATCTGATCTTCTACGTTTTCTTGATTCCATTATAGATAATTCATCAACTGACTGAAGTGTGAAAAAAATATAACCAAGACTGTTTCTATTACATAACATAAACACTTTAAAAACCAGGAGTTGATAAGAAAATATATGTGTGACCGTTTAGTAAAAAAATCCAGAACTCCAGTAAATTCATTCGATGGATTTACAGAACTATTCGTGTATCTGAAATCTTGCTGAAATGATAACACAATGCTCATGAATAAACAACCTACGGTATAATCTGCAAGGTTACATGTTGTTGACAGTCTTCACTTGTGCAAGGGGTCAGTCAGTCAGCTACAACATAGGATCAGGGACATATATGCATCGGTCCAAGTTGCCATACCTCATTAACACAGCAAGATGGACACCGGATTCATAGGAGTGGTTAATTCAGAGGTAATATATAAAAGAAAGATTGCAATAAGGATATAGTACAGCAAGAACGAATTAGTTCGTAGAAAGAAAGATATGAAGCGATTTTAATCTCTTAGTTTAAGGGAAGACAGGGAGTGTATACACCGACGCCATTGTGATCGATTCTGAGCCATGTCACCAAGAGTCTCCAACCATTGGTTACGACAGTCACGCGGACCCCAACCAAGTAGTCTGCATCTACCAACATGGCTCAGACTAGAGGTTAGTGTCTTCAAGCACTGATGCCACATTTTGGTTTGGCCGCCCCTAATTCTCTTCCAACCATCTCTAACACCTGTTAGCATTGCACGACGTGGTAATCGGTGTTCAGGCATACGTAACAAGTGGCCCAACCATCCCAGTCGATGAAGATTCACAACCTCATCAACTGATTTACCATCATTACCTAATACCCTGAGTCCAACCTCACTATTACTTACCCGGTGATCCCAACAGACGCCAGCAATATTTCTAAGGCATCTGTGGTCAAATACTAATAGCTTACGGGTGTCTTCTACTCTTAAAGGCCATGTTTCGCTGCCGTAAAGTAAGACAGAACGGACTGCCGCGCAGTATACTCGTCCTTTTATTGATAGACGGATATCTCGCATTCGCCATAGGTGAAGTAAGTTGGCAAAAGCCAAGCGAGCTTTTCGAATCCGTGCTGAGATTTCGTCAGACACCAACCCATCAGGGCTGATCAAACTTCCAAGATAAGTGAAGTTGTCAACGCGTTCGACTACTTCACTCCCTATCCTTAGTTCAGGTGTTGACGCAGACCAGTCCTGAAGCAACAACTTGCATTTAGAGGGAGAGAAGCGCATTCCAAACATTCTGGCATTGTTGCTCAGTGCTTCCAAAAGACTCTGCATTCTATCAGCGTCTTCACCAAACAGGACTATGTCATCTGCGTATTCTAAGTCGATAAGTGGACCTCCTGGAAGAAGATCGACACCCGAGAATTCAGTAGACGAGAATGTTATTTACATCAATAGGTCTATGATGAAGTTAAACAAAAATGGGGAAAGTGGACATCCTTGACAGACACCACTTGAGGTTGCAAAAGTAGATGACGGTTCGCCATAAGCTCTTACTCGACTAGTAGTGTTCGAGTAAAGAGCCTTCACAAGGTTTATGTAGTTCTGAGGTACGCCTTTCAATGACAGACACTGCCACAGGATTTCGCGGTCTACGGAGTCAAATGCAAGGGTTAATCGTTGTCATTTGTTTTCATAAAATGGTGATGATCTACCATACAAAACTCTTCTTTATATGATTTGTTACTTCATATACTTCTTTTTCAATCTCTTAGCTGGGTTAAAATTTCATGTGTCTGTTAAAGATTGTTAAATCACAAAATCCTACTAAATATAAGGTAATAAGTTTGACTGAGCCGTATTATTTAAAACTATACTGGATTACCAAAGTTTACTAAGCATCAATTATCTTCAGAACCATATGAACATGGCTTTTCTAATAATATACTGGTATTATTTGAATAATATAGTCGCTAAAATAAATAATGAGTTACCAACTGTGAATCAACGATATAACAAAAAAACATACAAAATAGTGCAATTAAAACTTACTTTCTTAAAGTTAAAATAATTTGAAATACCGATGGTGAATTAAAAGATTTCCACTTTAGAAACCCATCACATTAAACTCTAATCCCCTTCCCAAATGTAAGAATAAAAATTACTGAGAAAAAACTTATTTCTACCTCATAAAAAAATATGTCACAAATATTATTTATGACGATTAATTTACCGGTTGTGACGCTGGAGTATTAAAAATTGATTGATTTAAGGATAATGGAAATCTTTTTGATGGTGTAGTCGGAGAATTCGGATTATACGCAGGTCTGTCTACAGAACAACGGATAATAGGAGACTGATTTAACACTCGTCCATCAACACAATCCAAAGGAAGACCCTGAGATGACATTGAGTGTAACAAATCGTCTGGATTAATATTTTCAGAATCTTCTGATAACATCATGCGTGAGTAGATAAAAAAAGTAAAATACACAATTTTATTTGTCGTCTTAACAAAAAGTATGTACAACAAAGTAATAATAATAAGTGATAACTCCGCCTGCCGGTCCCAAGCCCAGATAAAGGAGGAGGGTTAGGCATGGGGTTAGAGACCCCATTCCGTAGAAAACTAACTCGCTAAAAAAACGTTAACCAGAAAAAATTATTCAAACCATTTAATAAGTGATAGACAGGTTTCTGAAGTTAGTTTATAGTCTTTGTTATCTGACAAGTTCTTTTTGAAAAATTTCGGTCGGTGTTATTTCCTCTTCCATATTTTATTTACTTTTGTCGTTGTTAAAGATCGAAACTTTACTCTTCATATTTCGACTTGTTTACAAAAACCTTGTAAGTAATACTATACATAAATAAATGTAAGACCAAACGGCTCTCTTACATGAATTATATGAAACTTCTATAAGACAATTAACTTTACTACTATAAAGATTACTAGTTTTGAAAAAATGGTTAAACAATGTATAAAGTATGAATAATGAATTCAGTCAAAAGTACCAACTAAAAAATTGATGTTATTTATGTGTTTCAACTATGTCATACACAGTAGTAATGAATCTAAACACAACTTTTTGAAAACTTTTCAAATTATTCAAGAAACTAAACAGTATATGCATATATTTATCACGATCGTATTTTTCATAGATAAAAAATGGAGAGTTTATTAAGAAAGTAAACCTACCCATATAGAATGGATGAATAAGCAACTGTTCTGGTGTTATAGGAGATTCAATTTTTGTTGGAGTATTAATAAATGGACTACGATTGACAGAGTTCAAAGAATAACAACCTAAAGGAGGTGTACTCGGTGCAGAATGGATATTTTGGAATCCTGTTGATAAGCCTGGAAATCGTTGTACAACCCCACCTAAAGTTTCGGTAAGCGTTGCTAAACTTGGCAACCGTTTTGTTTGTAGATTTGAATTTAAAACTACACCATTTGTACTCATACTGTTTGACAATGAAGATAAAGCGACCAAAGATTTGTTAGTAGTTGATGTAGAACTAGATGAGTTAACTGGAGAGACAGTTTCAAGGAAATGTCGGATATTTGATTGTCGTCGACGAGCTGAAGTCATGGGTGATCGACAATTGAAATCGGGTGAAGAAAGGCTACCTAATTTATTATTTACATTATTCGACTGTGATGTAGTTGAAGATAAAATACATTTCTCTAGTTGACTTGTGTTCATAAGTGATTTTGAAGGTGAAATAAGTTCAGCGAGACCTATGAATCAAAAACGAAGACATCAAAGAGTAGAATATTTTCTCAGGTCAAATCACGTCACTATCGATTTCACAATTTTAAAGGAGAGTTTTGAGTGCAGAAGCAGTTATAACTAATCGATACAACAATTAGACGTTCAGCATTATTGACTGTTTTACCAGTGACTAACTATATGCAATCCAGTCAACAACACAAAGATATTATAGTTTTATTTCGCTAGTATATGCTTAGTTAACTGTCCAGTGAATATTACTTTTTGATATTTGTTTTATTTGGGATATAGGATATCGTTCCAATAGTAAAAAAGGTGGATTAATTTTCAGAGTACTCAACGTTCAGCTATTTGATCAAAGGTTTAAATCTCAGCCCGCTAAATTAGATTGGAATACACCGGTAGTATAATATTTAATGCATGAACTGGCATAAAAATACATCGATCGAAGTTGCCACATATAAAAGCAGTACAGTGAGGAAGGGAACTAACACAAAGAGAAGTAAAGGAGAGGATTGAATTTCAATTCTGATAGATATAGAAGTATGAGTGATATTAGTAACAACATAAAAAAAATAAAGAGCAGTATCTATAAGTAATATCACGAAAGTATTATTCACAGAGTTAAAATGACGACAAAGGATTAGTATTCTGGTTGTGCGCGTAAGTTGACTCCGAATTAAACGGAGAATATCAGATTTGCACAATATGTGAGCTTTATCAATGCATCAGCATAATGAAAATAACGGTTTGTCACTAAAAAAAAAATCAAAATCGATATCAACAGATGTGTAAGGGTAATGCCTTTTAAAGCATGAGTATACCAGATTAAGCAATTATAGTTCGAATCTAAATAATTTCCATCAGACTATTTAATAAATGTTAGCTATCTATATTGTGCAGGATGAAGCAAATCACCAGTAATCAGTCTCAACAATCAAGGAGTATATTACTGAGTATTTTATTAGACTTCAATCAATAATTTAATATGGTTTGTGAGGTGATAAGCGTGTTGAAAAGAAAAAGTAGTCACTCTAATACCTACCTGCTAATTCTCCCGAATCCGGTAAAGTATAACGTCGAGCGGGAAACATATTCCAAACAAATGCTTGAGATTCATCTGACAAAGTAACAATCCTAGTAGGATCGCCTTTACACCAACGTGGAACACTAACTTCACCTGTATGACCGGAAAGAACTATTGGTTGTTGTCGACATTTACCAACAGCATAAATATGCGCTCGACGATCTGAACTACCACAAATTATGTAGGAATCATCTGGACTGATATCTAGTTTAACGTAGAATGAATCTGTCACATGACCAGTATAAACGAAAACTGAAAGGGAAAGTAAAAAGAAATTATTGTTATAGCATAGTGATTACGTGTTTGAAACAAAGCCCAACTTACACTCATATAGATTAACAGACGATCAATGGCATTATTTTGATACATGCTGATTTCCACTGAAGTTATGATTTTTATTGAAATGAATATTACTATGAAGATACTACTTTATAATAAATTTAACATAATCAACTGTATATTCAGAAAATAACTACATTGTTTCAGAATTTTCTGTCGAAAACGATGGAAAAGAGAATACTAGCTAGATAGTTATATTTAAACTCATCGTAATTTACGTTCGAATTCTCAACGACTGTACTACACTAAGAAGCAATCGGAATCTTGAACTGCATAGATGCCGTTAAAGTCAATGAGCATCTACGGATAGCTTTCGTCATGGACAGGTACCATCTAAAGACCCTATAAAGAACAGAGAGTAATACACAATTCTATCATTTTAGTTTGAAACCTGTTAGCGATGGAAAACTCACGATCTCTTATCTACAAATTTAGATGACCACTGTGTTGTACAGTGAACTATTTAACTCTCAACCAGTGATTTAAAAGTATTATACTCGTTGTCAGATTACACAGCTCTATGTTTCATTTTGACTGGGGTTGTATGAATCAGTTCCAGAGTAAGCTTATATGAAGGGAAAAATTTGTTTAATTATTCTGGAATCGATGTCAGCACGCCACATGAACTATCTTGAAATCGAATGAAATTCTACAAACTGTCCAACTACACAAATATTCATTGATCAGAATTAGAACTGCCCAAAGAAATTAAGATATCAGTTTAATTGTTAGTGATTGTTTCTTATATTCAAATGGGTAACGTTATAAATTGGAAAGTAAAACAGAGATACATGACTGAATAACTAGAGAAAGGAAACGTAAAATCGGAAATCATTTTACCATTATCTTTTACTCTGATCATGAAAGATGAATGAGAAATATAAAAATCTTAGTATATTTGTTGCATTACAGATAAACTAATAAAAATAGAAAGTTGTACTTTGTTTAATTTTAAATTATTCTTTGAGCAGTGAAGGATGGGAGGAACTGGATAGACGTTACATACTTTCCAATGAGTTTAAATATAAGCTAGTAACTTTACCTTGAACAATCAATCAGTCAGTCAGCTACAACGTAGGACCAGGCACATATATGCATCGGTCCAGGTTGCCATACCTCATTAGCACAGCAAGATGAACACCGGATTCATAACAGTGGTTAGGTTAAAGGTGGTAATATATAGGAGAAAGATTGCAATAAGGATATAGTACAGCAAGAACGAATTAGTTCGTAGAAAGAAAGATATGAAGCGATTTTAATCTCTTAGTTTAAGGGAAGACAGGGAGTGTATACACCGACGCCATTGTGATCGATTCTGAGCCATGTCACCAAGAGTCTCCAACCATTTGGTTAAGAAAGTCACGCAGACCCCAACCAAGTAGTCTGCATCTACCAACATGGCTCAGACTAGAGGTTAGTGTCTTCAAGCACTGATGCCACGTTTTGGTTTGGCCGCCCATAACTTTCTTCCTAACATCCCGAACACCGGTTAGCATTGCACGTTGTGGTAATCGGTGTTCAGGCATACGTAACACGTGGCCCAACCATCTCAGTCGATGACGATTCATAACCTCATCAACTGATTTATCATCATTTCCTAATACCCTGCGTCCAACCTCACTATTACTGACTTGTGATCCCAGCAGATGCCAGCAATATTTCTAAGGCATCTGTGGTCAAATACAAATAGCTTACGGGTGTCTTCTACTCTTAATGACCATGTTTCGCTGCCGTAAAGTAAGACAGAACGGACTGCCGCGCAGTATACTCGTCCTTTTATTGATAGACGGATATCTCGCATTCGCCATACGTGACGTAATTTGGCAAAAGCCAAACGAGCTTTTCGAATCCATGCTGAGATTTCGTCAGACACCAACCCATTAGGGCTGATCAGACTTCCAACATAAGTGAAGTTGTCAACGTGTTCGACTACTTCACTCCCTATCCTTAGTTCAGGTGTTGACGCAGACTAGTCCTGAAGCAACAACTTGCATTTAGGGAGAGAGAAGCGCATTCCAAACATTCTGGCATTGTTGCTTAGTGCTACCAAAAGACTCTGCATTCTATCAGCGTCTTCACCAAACAGGACTATGTCATCTGCGTATTCTAAGTCGATAAGTGGACCTCCTGGAAGGAGATCAATACCCGAGAATTCAGCGGACGAGAATGTTATTGACATCAATAGGTCTATGATGAAGTTAAACAAAAATGGAGAAAGTGGACATCCTTGACAGACACCACTTGAGGTTGCAAAAGTAGATGACAGTTCGCCATAAGCTCTTACTCGACTAGTAGTGTTCGAGTAAAGAGCCTTCACAATGTATATGTACTTTTGAGGTACGCCTTTCGATGACAGACACTGCCACAGAATCTCGCGGTCTACCTAGTCAAATGCTGCTTTTAAGTCAAGAATGACCACCATCGTCGGACGCCGATAAGTATGCCTGTGTTCTAGAACCTGACGAATGGTGAATATGTGGTCGATGCAGCCACGACCAGGTCTGAAGCCAGCTTGATTCTTTCGTGTTTGCAGTTCACGAGTCTTAGTTAGGCGTCTGATTATTATTGAGGCTAGTATTTTAGATATTATATTAGTTAAACTAATCCCTCTGTGGTTGTCACAAGATGATTTTGATCCTTTTTTATAAATTGGGACGATAAGTGATTGTGACCAGTCAGATGGAATAACATCTAACTCCCAGATCTTAGCTAAAATATTAGTCAACCTAACCGCTAAAATTGGACCACCATCTTTAAAGACTTCTGGAGCCAATCCATCTGGACCAGCTGCTCTTCCTCGTTTCAGATTAACTATAGTTTTTTGAACTTCTGCTAGAGTTGGGGGACCTACTTCAATGTTCCATTCACACTGTCTGGGAATGGACATAAAACATTAAATTATTTAGACTTAGGTCGCAAAAGGAAATACTAAATATAAAAATAATACAGTTATAAAGTAATCTATTGTTTTCGAATTACGACTGTCATAAAAATTCTTAAAATGATTATTTGCTTTGAGAAAAATATCACAAATTTTAGGCAGAAAATTATATCTGCAAAAAACGGTCATATATATATGCTTACCTGGTTGTGTAGTTAACTGCGTTAGATCATATTCATATACAACATTATCTAGGCAATTGGCGAATAGACGTGTTCTATACGAATTGACTACCAAATCTGAATAGCCTGAAATGGAAGATTTATAATTTTATAAGTTCCAATAACCATTGAGACTAAAAACTAATAATGATGAAACGTTAAACAAGCGCCGGGTTTAAAAAGGGAATTTCTTCATTCATTCAATTAAAGTTTAGTCGTTCGGTATTTTTAGTTCTGACTGAATTCTAACTATTTACAATAATAATGAATAAGCAAAAGAATTAACACTGACAGACGATTGGGTGGAGTAATTTATTTAATTGCTAACAATGTACTCTGTCGAAGCGTAATTTCATGTTGACATTCTTTTCTTTAAACTCATGTAACCCAATCAACAATCCAGATTTAAGCTAAGAAATTTCATAGTGATAGAAAGCAATAAGCTAACTAATTACACAAACTGAATTTATTAGAATGGAATTCAACTATTTGATACAATCGTCACAAAATTAGCGATTTAACTATTACGTCAAGGCTCCAATATATTCTAATACTTATTGCTCAATAAGTATATAGATAATTGTGTCTTTCTTTTCCGATTACTTCTGGTGTTCTGTTTTCAGATAACCTTTAAACTACTTCCTGATATGAAATCAGTCAACTCTGAAGAGAATAGAAACAATTACTCCAAATTAGGTTATTATTGTTAGTCGAATCTTCGCAATTAATATTCGCATAATAACTCGACTGAATGAAAAAAAAACTGGGATAGTTTAGGGTGTCATAAATATGTGAATGTTCATATAAAAAAGGAATAGATAAATAACAGGAAGAATGCACAGAGAAATCTGTTAAAAATAAATAACATCTAGATTGATTTTGGTAATCTGTAGAGTTTCATTTAAAATTAACTCAAGTGAACAAACACTTTGATGATAATAAAAAATGTGAAATTGAGATAAATCAAATAATTTCTTCGGAAGGATTACATGTGGTCAGGTAATACTAATTATTAGCTTGAAGAGATTCTTAAGCATGGCACAAACAGAAACCAGAAAACCTAACTCTTGTGAGGTAACTGTTAATATGCTAGCATAAAACAGTCCTCGGGTTTCAATGCAATATAAGCATACACAACATTTTTCACATGGTATTATTATTATTCGTGTTAGAGCCCATTAAGTTGAAATTTTTGTGGACAATAATATAAATCAATAAGCGTAAGCCATTGTTTACAAGGTTACTTGCAACACTGACGAAATTTCCTGATGTGAAAAGGATAATAACATCCATAAGTACAAAGATTTCCAGCATGAACACATATAAGTACAGGCTTGTGCTTTGAGCAGTGTTCGAGACTGTGATTCAATAATGATTCAATCCTGTTTAACAGGAGGTAGTTGATACAAAAAAACCGTAAAGCCTTTGCTAACAAAACAGTAATCAAGTTCATCATCACACTGAGAAATGATATATACATATTGTTAAGTTTGTTTTACATTGTTCCTGCTCATTCTCTTTCTACTCTTCTGTATATTGTTTTATACTACTCATTTACATTCAGTAAGCAGTCGTATTCCTAACAATTTTCAAATATATATTGTAACGCGAGTTGTTCTGTAATATTCTGAATTGTTCACACATACTTATAACGTTTATTGTACTTATTATTGTATTTATCATTATAATTACTGTATCTTAATCACTGTAGCCGTTATCCACAGTTTTGTGCATTTATTTAAACGCAACAGTTTCTATATTGCTTTGCCCTCGGTTCGAGTTTCGATTGCTCATAAACTGTTATCCAATTTAGACACAGCTATCGGCTGTCTTTGTACTATCGAAGCCTTTGTTATTTTCATTCTTGAAGGACGCGTTTAAACGCCTAGACACTTCACAAGTTGAGACAAATCGTTGTTTTGGAACTTCGATTTTGCGCGTATCTCAATCGGGGTTACTTGGACGCTTCAATAGAATTAACTTATATATATATGGATAATACTTAAAACTGGGAAAAAAGGATGGTAATAAAGGATGTGAGATTTCATAAAATACAATTAAATAATTAAACAAAACAACCATCTACAAACAATTTAATAACTTAGCCCAGTGAAAAGAGATCACACTGATCAAGACGACACGAAATATGCATTTTAATAATTATCACAATCATTATTATATATAACAAACAAGTGTAATAGATTTGGTAGCAGTTAGATAATTGACTTTCATAGTTTACCCTCCAATAATCGATTTCTGATGATCGATAATTGAACTACCATGGTATTCACCATCACCGTTACAAAGTTCAAGAAAATGGTCACATTACGAAAAGTAGTTACACAAAAAAGAATATTAAATATTAACCGAGGAACCAAAGATGTACTACAAGTGACTTTTCCTGCATGTTAGTTGAGTTTATTTTGGCGATATACAATTCGAATTGTTCATTAAGTCCATTCGAAAGAGATGAATAGACTACTCAGAGCAACCAGCTATATTTACAAGTCTTCATAAACTTACAAGATGGAATACATTATAAGGAGGATTAAAAGGATGCCTTTAATTAAACCTTTAAGGAGTATTATTCCATTAGATTACTTTCCACAAAAAAATGCGAAAATATTTTTTGAATTGAAACTACTTACCACTTTGTTTTTGTGAAGTACCTGAATAAGGTAAAATAAATTTTGGTTTTGCTTGCTTTTTACTTCCAACACAAAACACTCGTCTTAAATCCCACATTTTGATAGACCTGTTAAAAAAAATGAAAGAAAATAAGCGAACAAAATAAATATGTGAAAACAGCTTTACGTTACGAAATGACAAATTAATTAGAGAATCATTTAATAACAAAAAGTATTAGACATATGTGTAGTCATAGTTTGATACTCTCCAGTAAAAAAACATTCAAGAACGGATGACCATGTACGTTATGAGACGATTAAGTTAAAACCCACTCTTGCTCACTGAGAAATATAGCGTTGATTGACACAAATGTACACTAAGAATTATTTTGTAATGTTATCAACAAAACACATAGTTGTGCCCATAAAATAATTTAGAATTTTATGGATATAGATGATGATAATTTAAACCATTTATCCATCAGATGAAACTGTATTAAACATTTAGAAACTGTATACAAAGAATACTGAATCTTATACTTGCGCGTATACACTATGAGATTAGGATCTGTATTATTTCCTGAGGAAAACAAACTTTGTACCATAGAATCTTTCAGTTGAAAAAAATTGCAAGGCAAATGCGCTTAATCATCGAATACTAACTAAAATAATATGTTGATATCAATCATAAAAAAGTAATTTACGATACTACGACTGATCAGTATGCAGGGTGAGTCAGTCAGTCGGCTACAACGTAGGACCAGGAATATATATATATATATACACCGGTCCAAGTAAAGTAAAAGACGATCGATAACATGGTAACTGTGATGCTGTACAACGCGTTTTTCCAACGTGAATACAACCCAACACTCAACAGCAGTCACGATCTTGAAACATGGTAGATCTTCATGTTGAGTGTTTGGAAATATTTTATATCAGACGAAGACCACCGATAAAACATGCCATCAAGGTAGAAACCAAATTTGTTACTACCTGGTAATCGATTTGTCCAAGTGTTCTGGTAAACAGATATACAATCCTAATGACAGTGTGGTTGGATTTATTAGGCAGTGTTTGCCTCGACAATCTTCCAAAACAACTTTGGGATGAAAGAAATCTACTGGTAATTAATCCAAAAAATATCGCGTCATACTGACTACACAATTTAACTTACCCATCCGATGATCCTGCAGACAAAAAGGTATTATCATCCACAAACAAGACCGAAGTGACACTTTGTGCATCAGTCTGCAATTAAAAGATGTAATACGTATGAGGAAACGTATATATTTAGTAAAATTTAACGAGCAATTTAATGTAGATGATGATGATGAATTAGTTACTTGTACAATTCTATCTATTCATTTGATTTCTTTCTAGCTTGGTTTTACTATATCCCAAATGCCCTGATACGACCGGGGGTGGAGAGAGTCTGCTCTCCCTCTCCAAATGCTCTCACATGGCCACGCGTATTAAGCCACTTCTAGGGAAGTTTTACTCAGTGCCTTTTCGAGGCGTGGGTGTTGTTTACAAAATCAAGAGAACGAAAAGCGAATGTCCGGCATTTTCACCAGGTTAGTGGATATGCAGGATCCACCTAGGCGAGTTGGAAAACCCTAATTTCAAACCAATGGTGCACATGGGCTCTGGGATCATAAGGAAACAAATGGTATATGAGACTATTGTTGGTCAATGGCCACCATGGGACTGTGTCGCCTAGCATTGCTCCACTGCCTTGTGGATTAAACCTTTAGGTCAAGGGCTCGAAAAGTGGTTCCCTGAAATACCCACTGCTTCATTTTGGGTGCCCGGGCAGTATCACAGTCGTCACACAAATCAATGATAGCTACGACTGGAAGATGTTCTATTGCTTCAACGTTCGCTCAGACAAATCCTATTCACGATCATATGATAACATTCGTATTTATTTCTTTTATACTAAGGCATTTATGTATTCCCCTTTATTCTCGTTTTGCAAATTTTATTTTTAACCGATATAGCAGCTCGCCTATGGTCGAAACCCTGTCCTAACTAAACAATCTCAAGTCACTGACTGGTCGGAAGTTGAATGCTACCACCGAATACGAATACTGAGTCAGTCTTTCTGAAACCACATATACCATACAAACTGGCCTCCTTCAACGTTCGTACAATAATGCAGACTGGACAACAGAGAGAGTTGGCTATGACTTGAGAAAGTATTAATATCGAGATATGTTGTCTGTCCGAGACCCGTGTTCAAGACTCTAGTGAAGTACTACAAATTCGCTCTTCATCTGCCGCTTCAAAAAGCTTGTTTCACACGCTCTTATCCACGGACCCTGTGGCATTTTTATCTAGTTTTACTGGCGTTGGTGTCGTGCTAAGGCGCTAGGGGCTGAGGCAACACTGACCGACTGGATCCCCATTAGCAGTCGGTTATGTGCTGTCAGATTAGAAAGTTCCGTCGAAGTAAGAAGAAATCGGTGTTAGAAACGATGTTATTTCGTCATCTCCGCCTACGTCCTGACAGACTGCAGCCTGGATGCGATCAAGGATTAGTCTTACAACCAGTTAACTGTTCTTCTCCAGAAAGTGCATTCGACAGATATCGTAGTACTGGCCGGAGACTTGAATGCTCAGGTCGGGTATCTAGGCACAGAAGAGCCGTTTATGTGGCCGATGGGGATTTTTTGGTCTCAGGTCAGATAACACTGACCGGCTACTGCAACTGTGTACAGACTATAACTGTTTCTGGCTAGCACTAACTACCGGCACAGTGATCTCCAACGTGCTACCTGGCGTCCTCCCTCTTCATCTTACTCCTGGACTCAGGTTGACCACATCGCGATCAGCTACCGCTGGCTTGGTTGTGTAAAAGACTACCGCTCCATTTGCAGTACCTATTTGGACGCAGATTATGACCTTGTTTGCGCTGATCCTACTTTACGTTTCAGAGACCAACAATTTCATTGCCCTAAACGGATCGATGTCAGAAAATTGGTTACAGCTTCTGTTGCAAATTAATATCAAATCGAGCTATGTTCAATGCTAGCGAACAACCCAACGAAAATTATGGATGAGCATTGGTTGCGATTGCATGACACCATGAAAATGACGGGCAGAGTCGCTTACAGCTTCGTAAAACGTGCCGCTTACAAGCATTGAGTTTTTACAAACTCCTTACAACTCATTGAAACCCGTCGGCCTACCCCAGATGGCCACGAGTTTGACCGCAAACGGAGACTTTTACGTAATGAAATTGAGCAAAGCTTGCGTAAGGACCGAGAGGCCTGGTGGTCGGAGCGCGCCAATGAGTCGGAAGTAGCAGCCGCAGCTGGTAACTACCGGAAGCTCTTTTAATTTATCCGAGTCACTAGCAGCAATAAGTCTGATGTGAGTGAAACAACCTGTGAAAGTGACGTAATGCCAATCAGTAACATCTATCGAAGTCTTGGACGATGGAGTTTTTCAAAGAGCAGCTCAACTGGTCTACTGCTCCGGCAACATCAATCAGACTGTTCTACCGTCATAGCCTGTGACGACTGATTCACCTAAGGGCGCGGGAGTCCGGGAGGAACTCCAACTCTTGAAGCGTCACTCAGATGACTCACCTCCGGCCCATTTTAAAGATCGCAGTGAATTTATGGTTATGAAACTGACTAGTTGTTCAAAAATGTCTGGCAATTAGAGCATATTCTGACATCGTGGAATGAGTCAATAGTCATCCCTATCTTTAAAAAGGGTTCACGTCGTTATTGCAACAACCATCGGGGAATAAGTCTACTTCCGATCGCGTCAAAATTACTGGCTTCCATCCTGCTTCGTAGGTTGTTCAAAACCCGAGAAAGATCGACTCGCAAGGAGCAAGCTGGTTTTCGTTCTGATCAAAGACGTATTGATCATATCTTCATCCTCCGCCAAATGTTAGAACGGCGTCATACTTATCACAAACCAACCATCGTAGTGTTTCTTGACACTAGGGCCTCCTTCGATTCATTGGACAGGACTGTTCTCTTGGATTGTCTATTGAAGAAGTGTACCTGAGAAGTTTATTAATATAACATGCACAAACACCTTGGATATAGTGATGGCATACAAACAACTTTCTTCATTGTTCCATTCAAGTAGTGAGGTTAGGTAGGGTTGCCTAATTTCACCATTCCTCTTCGACTTTGTTATCGATGACGTTATGAAAGGTCGAATCTACGCGTCGATAAGAGCAGTTTTAATTTATGCTTATGAAATCTCGCCTCTCCGAGTTGAGGACGTTGGACAACTATCTTTGCTTCATCATCGTTGTCTCAGAAGGACTGTTGACACCTAGTGGCAACACCATGTTGATAATGCAGAGGTTCGGCAACGCATGTTCGGGGCACAGCAGTGGAAATTCAATTGGTGTCATCATTTTGAAACACTGACTTCGGTGGCTTGGACATATTCTATAAATGTCATCACAGAGAATTCCGCGTCGTGCATTATTTGTCGACGCTAGGATCAGTTGGGAAAAGCGGTGTGGTATGAAAGAAAGCTACACAGGACTAGCTTCTGGTGGTCTTTCACAACTCCCTGGTTGGAGCCCTAGATATGGTGCAACACAGTGGCTAGAGAAGTTATCAGAAATGGCTCACAATAGGGGCCAATGGTTATCCTGCCGTAACTTTCTTCATAAACATGAACGTAAATTCTTTAACTGGGAGAATTCTTTCTGGTTATATTTTTGCTAACTGGACTATTTCTCCCATTATTATTATTTCTCTCATACACTAATATCTGTTCGTCTTTGTTTTTTATTATTATACGAACTTTTCGTTCTCTATCTCTTTACAACCTCATTATTATTGTGTGGCGCATATGTATTTGGTGCTTCTCTGTACCAATATTCACGCGTTCAAGTAAATAGATAAATAAATAACAATTCGCTCCAACCAAAAACGCTCAAAATCGAAGGTTGGAATTTTAATATGTGAAAGACTAGGCAGTTTAGTTCATTATGAAAGTCGCATTTAATTATAGCTATCAATATTTCAGTAACTAATAACAACTAAGGTACTAAAATCCCATCAGCAACAACCAATGCAAAGAATAATTAGTTAAATTTCGTACAACATACCGCTGAACGTTTTGGAGTACGTGTTCTTCTTCCGTCTGTATTAGAAGAATTAGGCAGAAACGGTACATGACATTGTGGTAAAACTCCAACACTTGATATTCCTGGTGAGCCTAGTTAATGGTAATAATTAATTAAATCCATGAACTTTATATTGCAAAAGGATGAGTATTGGCAAGCATTAGAACAATATGTAAAAATGGATGCAAAAGGATGAGTATTGGCAAGCATTAGAACAATATGTAAAAATGGATCCAAAGTAATGACTAGTGGATTGTATACTTTCAGTGGCGTAGATGGCTTGAAAATCCTTGAAAGATAATGAACAGAAAATATCCGCATTCTAACAACTTTAAGAGGGGTAAAATATCCGAAAACAAATGGATGATCAGAACGCTATTCAGTAACTAATTGTAGACTTATATTGTGGGCTTCAGAATACTTATTTTATGAAGGATCAGAGATCTTATTTTAATTTTGGAGCCAAATGCGATGGGACCGGGACGTAATTGATAACAACCGAGTGGTTAAAACTAGTGGTACAGATAAACAAAACATTTCATGCATGAAAAGTAGTATGCACACACAGAAATCTCAAAGAAAACTAGCTATCCAATATTCGTAAAAACTAAAATTGGAAAAGAAATTAACACTGACTGTTTAAGAATGGATATGGGGATTTGTGAAGATTGTAATGATTTTAACAATTGAATTCACGAACCAATCTAAGATAGACCACCAGTGGGAACCTGGAAGCACTGGACGGCCATTTCGTCCTAGCATGAGAGTCCTCAGCAGTGCGCGTTCGTGACCAGTGGATTCCAATCCGTGTCCGGTAGAGACAGTTATCCACCTCAGACAATGGATGAAGGGTTGCGCAAGATCACGGATCGATTGAAGTTAGACATTAATACCGTTGGGTGATGGCTCAGTGGTTAAGGAGTTAAGCGTTCGAGCTCTGGGTCCGAGTCTCACATGCGGGATCGTGGTTTCGCACTGCCAAGGAGTCCCATACTAGGACGAAACGGCCGTTCAGTACTTCTAGGTCTTCAATGATGACCTAGCTTAGATTGACTCGTGAATTCAATTATTTAATAATCATCAAGCAGACAAAATTAGTATATATTGTATGGTAACACCTCATTCAACATAGTTTATGCTTATGAAGTGAAAAGTTGCCCACGATAATTATCATGTCACTGCTTTTCTCTTGATGTGTTGTGCACAGAAATGTCTCTTTAATATAACAGATGGATGCATACGAATAAGTGGATACAGAAAGCCGTTTATTCGTCAATGTTCAGTCGAGCAAGAACCAGTTGCGATTATACATACGGGTATGTCAGTATGATCTTAGAAATGACAGTGCAAAAGTTGGTGCCAATAGCAAACTACACACTTTAAGGAATAGTGTTAAAAACTAATCAAAATGATTAAGCGATATATTATATAAATGGCTTCAACGTTTTCCAGGTGAAAAACCATCGAATCATAGTAAACGGATTAAGTTAATGGTTCCTATATTCCATTTAAAACTCTACAGATGAAAATTCTACATACATCGGTATCTCTTCCGGAAACAAAGTAATAAGACTTTAGGATTTGAAGGGATTATTCTAGTTACGATGTAAAGTACTAGACACCCACATGATCGTTTTGTTTTTTCTTGTTGAATTGAATAAGATTACTAAACTCAAAATATGCTATGATAATGGTATCATTTTGCGGCACAATACGGCTCACATTATGTGATAAATTGTTACCAAACAATTACGGTAATATAATAATGAAGCTATAAAAAAGTGTCCGCTTAAATTAGCAAAATAATACCTCGAAAATTTAGTGCGTCCGGTTTAACCCGAGTATCCCACATACGTATACTACCATCGCGTGAAGTAGATGCAAAGATATCTGGATGGATTAACAAAGCAAAAAATACAATTCGTGTATAAGAAAATAAACTAATCTACAGAAAAAACTGAATTCATATACAGAAAGGAATTAAAAGTGCTTATCAGGTAGTGTAGATATGTTATTAAACCCAAATATACATCGAATGTAGAGGTAAGCTCAGAGATCTTGGAAATTCAGTCGGCACACCAAAATATGTTATAGTAGAGGGAATGACGTTTCTTGTACAAAGCTTTTTAATATGTTTGATATTCAACATTTATCTTTTAGGCAAAAAAATACAGTGAGAATGAAAACAACTTAACAAATATTCGAAAATCCCCATACTGGTAACTTAGCAGAAAATGATGACGAGTGGTTTGATTTATCCTTTTTACCAAATATTAAGAAAGCTAGTAGTACTATATATCACGTTGATTTACCTACATCTGTTGTTGATAACAGAGTAAAAAGATCACTTAACTTCGTACTGCTTAAAAATAACTTCACACATTTTCCATTAACCACAATGTACATAACGCTACGGACTGATACATAACATTGAATATTTCAAATAGTTTATCACGTAAAATGCGTGAAGAGAAAAGCATCAGGTAGTCCCGCAAAATTAATTTACATCTAGACAACAAGGAACCCATCGAACCTGCTAACAGTATAACAGAAGCTACATCGCAGTGCACAAGTCCGAAAGCAACCACTGGGGAACAGGTCTCTTTCCAGATTGAATGACTTAGCTTAGTGTTTGGCAGTTTGCCATGTTTGGTAACTGCCTGAATCCACTGAAAACATAATGCAAGTAATTGACATACTTTAGTATATGGTTGCATACGATAGTAGTTATTCATAAATTGGTGAACTTATTTTTAGGAACCAGTTAATGTCGTATGAGCATGTTTATTGTGTGATACATTACTGGTTTGCGAAAGTATTATCACTTTTCTCACCTTGCCTGAAAGAAAGTGGCAGAAACATAATCAATTTTTCATTTGGCACCATATTTTTGATTAGAACCTTTTACTATGTACCAACTGCCCGAATAAGGTCTATTGAATCATGAGACCAAGTGGTCTGAGGCATGATTAAACACAGCTTAGAACCAAAAATAGTGCTGCAATGACTGTCTTGTGAAAAACTTCTTGAATATATCTCGCATAAATCTTTTTTATATCATCATATTAGTCATACTTTTCGGAGAACCTAACAGTGATCGATTCGTAGAGTATGTAACCAGATGAAATATAAAACGTTTAGTGCATTTATATAATCTTTGATTAAACACACAGCTAACAAACCTGGTACTCATTAAGAGTAAGTTGTAATTACAACAACCAACATCATGCTTATGATGATATTACTATGTATACCAGTTTGGGCACCCGAGTAGTATCCCAGCCCTCACATAAATTAAATGATTTATGTGGCACATATCTATTTGGTGCTTCCTTGTATCAATGTTTGTGTTTACGTATACAAATAAATAAAACGCCAAGTCAAAGAAGATGGAATGAAGTTTGACTGATAGCCAAATAATATAATATGGATAACTTTCAAGTTCGGATGCAAATACCACTTTGCCAACAGGCATTTTAACTACGAAATGTAGTTTAAACAGCTATTTTATCCGTATCATCACCATAGGAACAAAGCCATCGAAACTACGGACAGACACTGTAAACGCTTTTTAAATACCGACAATACGAGCTGAATTTTAATACTATTAGTCGTAACCAATCACTCGTATGTTTCTACAGTGATCTAAATAAGTGATTTGAGTTGGTTCAAAAACCTTAACAAAAAGGTTTACATACAGAAAGAATTACTTACGACAGTCACTGGGCATAAATGAAAGACTGCGTACTGACATAGTATGTCCAAAGAATTGTTGTATTATGACACCTGTTTCAGCATCGATTAATCTAATAGACTGATCTCCAGAGGCTGTCAGAAAGCTTGATCCGGACGAAAGCCACTTAACGTCGAATACTGCGTTATTATGTGCTTCATAATCTAGTAATAAAAAACATCGCTTTACATGTGAATAACTGTGAAATTTGAATTTGAATTGGTTAAGCATATGATTAAGTGAATAGACCTATAAACAATTTATGCCATGGATTAGCTTCAGCCAACCAACCTTTGAAAACTAGAGTACTGTACGATTGTCTATCATAACACGAGACTCCCTAGAACTGCACACCAACGATCTCGCCAGAGATCGAATGTAAGACCTTTAAGGTTCATGTTGAGCGCATTATCCACAGAATTGACACCCTGTGGTTTAAATTCCCAACTTAGATAAGTTTACGAGGCATGAAGACCGACCCCTGACAAAGTAGTGAATATGCACTACACAAGAACTTCATACTAGGGTGAAACAGCTGACCAATTTATAGGAAAGGAACAATCGATTAGGCACTTGATATTTAGCCAGTGGTCATGAGTTTTAACTCTTAACTAATCGGATTTTGATCAGCCATGTTTTCGTCTTTAATGCTCACAGTTGTGATATAGCCGTATTTGTTCTTGATTTATGCTTTGCAAAAGCAAGTTACACTACCTACTCTTCGACAGCACTCGTTTTGTTGGGATAACATAGGGTTTCTCACTGAAATAGATGTTTTTTAGAAGCCCTATCCTTTTCTATTCATATATTTTGTCATCAGGCGGGTGTGAACTGTGATCTGAACAGATACATACTTAGGCAAGTTACTACTTTCTTTACAGACAATTGAATGCATGGTACATATTTACTGATGAATTATGTTCAAGAGCTAAATAGTGGTCTCAACTTTTCTCTAGCCTGAGTTGTAGTCCGTTGGTATGACGAGAAGACGCAGAGAAATATCATGCTAAATTTTCTGACTGTACCTTGTAGTTTAAATATGATAGTGATTGTGCCTTGAATATACACTAATGAACCGTCATAAAAATTCTTGAAATTTGGTACCATAGTTTATGGACTAACATGAGATTAGAATTCTGTTGATCACGACACGCGATTTTCATTTGAGAAAATCTGCAACTAATATTTGTTACTAAATTAACGAAAGCCGGCAGTGTATTACATTCTCGTATTCTAAATTTACATAATCCAACTAGGCACCCGTTTTTTCTACAGGGAAATGAGCCATACTGTTGTGAGGGGTCAGGTAACTAACTTTACAGGTACAGATTCATCTAATCCATACTGACCTACACTTTGTGAGAAATCTTGGTGAAATCCAGGTGGCTGAATTGAAGTAGATGGAGGGGAGTTGAAAACTCTGAACAATTAGTCAATAGCCAATTTAACCGATGGTCCTATTACTAGAACTCATAATCTAAAGGGTGACAGGCGAACACATCCACTGCAATGTGAGCGATTTTGGGTCAATCAGACTTTAGGATAAACATATTACAACTCAGATTCTGACAGTTTACTGAGTACGGTTTGAATTTTAACCATAAAGCCATGACTACATTTAGCACTAACAAGGAGAGTAATGTTGTTTTATCTGTGGAAGACAAGAGCGTCAGGAAAAAAAACATGTAGAATGATATTTTAACCAGGAACTTACGTTTGAGAAAGGCTTGAGTACCAGTAACAGAAGTGTCATACAGGTGGACTAAGCCATCCTCCTGAGCGATTAAAATGAGATCGGTAAGAGCTAAAACCGGTTAGTTTAAGATGTTTCATACTTGGAGAAAAGTCACAAGCAAACGGTGGGGAATTCTAAACATATGAACTTCTGAATTTTAGTCTTACCGGAGCTAAAACTGAATGAAGATGGTATGCTTGGTTTCTTCGACATTCGAAATTCTCAACACCAATTATAGGCAATGTTTTTTCTGTAACCTTGTGTGAAGCTTTAAATAGAGTTTACGTTTTTCTGCGGTGAAGCGAAAGAACTCTCTTTGATTAACAGATGAGAAAACACTCGGGGACATAAAAAATGAAGCCTTGATATAATAACTAAAAGCAGCGCGGAGACCCTAAGGTTGTACTAATGACCGCTTTAAACATCCGGGCTGTGAAATTTGGTACAATGTGAAAAGACAAAAGATTTCGGTCTTTATTAGTAAGGTTATGAGGTCGATCGACCTATATCAATCCTTGAAATCTGTAATACTGTTGAGATCCTATCTCACTTTAATGTGCTGATATTATGTGCCCTGGTAGCGGGTTCTAGAAATCAACCACTCAGTGTGGGGAAAAGTATTCCAGACGTGAGTGATTCGGCTCTGGTCTTGGATTTTCCCACTATTTCTTCTTAAATAATCAGTCCCATATGGAATGAAAAGATGAGGCACTGATACCCAGGTCATCGTTCAGCATACAGTAAGCCAGTACTAGATCACATCGTACCCACAGTGAGATAATGGAAACAGGTTGATGCGTCTCATTCTGTTTTCATAAGATAAGCCAGAGAGACCTTTCACCATTTAAGTCCTCCACCGTTAAAGTCATTTAGATATTCCGCATCATAATTGAATTGAGGATTCGATGCTTGAGTCCTGTATTACAAATGCAGCCTTACAAAATCGGTTGACAGCCTGAAAACGTCTTATTCCAGGTGATAAAATGACATACGAATAGTCAATATGACACTAAATCATATGGCCTTTTAATTACTCATAGTCCTAAAACGTCGTTCATTATGACTCCTAGATCTTCATAGTTATTAGCATCGTACAATCTAAATTCACCTGTTGCGTAATGATATGGATCATCGCATTCACTTTTCCGCATCACAATCATCATCTTGTTAGATTTAAACTCTAATGAACACTTGCAAATCAATTCAACCACTGAATTTAGTTCATCCTGTAATATTATTCTATCTGACTTACTGTGTATGGATTGTAAAAGCTTAGTTTGATTGGTTAAGAGTTGACCTCAAACAATTAAGGATATACTAAACAACAGATTTCATTCACTTCTTATTTTGTATAGGCGTTATACTTCCTATTATCTTACATTGAATGTTAAGAGGCTTTGCTTTTCTGAACAGGGAATCCCACTCTCCAGTGTGACTGCGCGAAGATCTGAGTAAAAACCTACTCACTACTAGTCTGTTTCTTCTGTCAATAGTACGAGGGTTACCTAAAGACACGAAATTAGTGAGCCCTGAGAAACGAATTCGATTTCATTTTTTTTATCATAAAACTTTTTCACGTCGTCGTAAAAGTAGACCATCTGGTTATCCTTGACCTAAGTTTGGTATGTATATTTATACAGCTAATTTTTTATATTAAGATATTCGTGTTGTGGTAACCATTTTTCGTACTAATTTTATTACTATATTGGTCATATACATCATGTCAGACTCAATACAAACCAAAAACCAGGAAGATTTGTCACCAGTGGAGATAGACACTGTTCAGACTACTAAATCCCGACTTCCAGAATTTGATCGCATTGACCCTGAGTTACAGTTTGATCAACTGGAGCATTATTTCACGAGACACAATATCAAATCTAAAGGAATTCGTAATAGAGACTTCTGTTCTATCATTCCTCCTTCAATCGCCAAAGAAGTCCATCGCCACCACAACCATACACCATCTTAAGACGAGAGATAATGAACCGTTGATCATTATCAGGCAGTTAAAGAATTATAATGTTTCGAATTATTTCAATTATAGCACGAAACAAGAGTCTAAGAAACAACGCAAATTCATTCTGAGTATGTCTGACATTGTATTGAAAAAGGATCCTGTATTATCTAGAATTTGCTCATTAGCATTAGAATTAACAACGGAAGTTGGAACAGACTCACCTTGTTCCTGAAATTGTATTTGATCAACATGTCGACTGTGTGTACTTAAGTCATTGATGTCTATAATTCACACCATCGATTTTTCGACATTCTTCAGAACAATACCCGTAGATGGTCGAAGATCATTTCCCCGACAGTATGTAACTTCTGCAGACTCCAAAAATTTCATATTCGACCGAAGAATTCTTCCTCTTAGTAGCTTCGCTGGAGTTTCCTTCGTCACCGAATGTCTGGCATTTCTATATTGCAATAGAAAGGTATCTACTCCCATCTCCTGCTCATTAAATGTTGAGGCGTCTATAGAATCAATGGTAGTCTTTACTGTCATGACAAAATTCTCTGTCTGACCATTAGAACACGGATGTCTGGGAGCAGTAAACAGATGTTTGCACCCTATACCATTCAACCAGGTAGTGACAGCATTCGCGGCAAAGTGAGAGCTATTATCAGTCACTAACACCATAGGAACCCCTTCTCGACCAAACGCCTTTTTAATGCTTGGATTGTGAAATCAGAATTAGGTGAAGTTGTAAAAAAACTTCAGGCCACTTTGAAAAAGAATCAATAACTACTAGTGAATAGTATTTACCAAGAAACGGACCACAATAGTCAGCATGAATTCTCTGCCAGGCCTCAGACGATACCGGCCATGGCGTCCACTTCGTAGGATGATTTTTCAACTGATGACATTTCTTACAATTGTTTGCCGTACGACATATTTCTGCATTTATCTCTGGCCTTGCCAAAGTCTTCATTTTCTCAACACCTAAATGACCACTATGAAGATCTTCAAGAACAGATTTACGCAGTGAAGGAGAAATGACAATATGATCATTTAAACACAGAATACCATCAGGAGTAGTAGATAGCTCATCCCGCTTTGAAAAATAGATAGGAAATCCGCGTTTCAAATTAGCAGTCCAGCCTTTTCGTATAACACAGAGTATACATCCAAAATATCTGCGAGTTTCTCTAATGAGATCTGAACGTCTCAATGGTAAAGGTTGAACTAACAAACAGTCCGAAGTATTAATAGGTCTATCTTGTAATGACTGTCGAGAAATGTAGTCAACATGTTGAATTTGTTTGGCACTTCTGTGCTGAACCGTATAGTCATATGCACTCAAAGCAATACTCCATCGTTGAACCATAGCAGCTGAGGAAAGTGCTAAGGATTTTTCAGGATGATAAATAAGCTTTAAAGCTTCATGATCAGTAACAATGATGAATTTCTTTCCGAATAAATATTTATGAAGTCTTTTAACAGCCCAAAACACAGCTAATGCTTCTCGCTGAGACTGTGAATAACCTTGTTCAGTAACAGTGAGTTTGCGTGAAACACAAATAACTGGTCTACCTTCCTGTTCCAAAACTGCACCAATTCCCAGAGGTGATGCATCAGTAATAAGCACAAAATGTACACTAGGGGAGTACGTTCGAAGAACAGCATCACTTTGAGGAAACTTTAGTGGACTTCGTAAGCATGACTCTTGTTCCTCACTCAATTTTAATGAATTGGATGTCAAAATATTAAATAAACAATTTGCACGATGAGAAAAATTAGGAATAAAACGGGAATAGTATTGAAGAGCATCCACTAGTGAACGTAATTCCGTAAGATTTTTTGGAGATGGGGCATTTGTCAGTGGAGCTAGTCGTTTCATATCTGGTCTAAAACCATTACCATCAACTAGGTATCCAAGGCATTCAAAACTAGATACACAAAATGAACACTTATTTGGAATCACTGTAATATTCTTCTCAATTAAACGACACAATAAAGCAATAAGTCTCTGGTCATGAACTGCCTTATTAGAACCATGAACAATAGGCCATCTTGATAAACTTCAACAAGTTCAAGATCAATACCTACTTTATTCATAATTTCCTGAAATATGGCTGGAGAACAACTTAGACCAAATGGAAGAAAATTGTATTTGAACAGACCAATTGGAGTGTTAATTGTCGTCAAAACAGATGAAGATTGATCTAAAGGAATTTCAAGATAAGCACCTCCACTGCACTTAGCACATCTAGCTATCAAATCTTTAAGTAAAGTATCAGAATTTTTTTTGGAAACTAGAAAGGACAACTCCACTTTATGCCTTTTCAAATTCTTTAAACCTAATATTGACAGTCCTGTTTCGCTAACTAAAAATTCACAAGGTATGTATGAAGAATTATCATCTCTTATTAGCAATTCACAACATCCTCGTATGGGCAGTCTGTGTCCAGTAATCCCCAATATTGATGCTTCAGTGGGTCGTAACACAACGTTAGGACCTAAGGATTTCAAGTTCTTGAATGAAATAATGGACTCTATACTGCCTGTGTCCACAATAAAGTCATGAAATGAACCAAGCGATGTATATAGTCGCTTTTGAATATGAGCATTACCTTTCGAAATAGTAGACAAAGATATATGATCGCTAGAAACATCCGAATTATTGAGATATAAATGACAAGATTTAGTACGACTTGAAGCAAAATGGACAGTAGCTTTGCATACTGACTGAATGTGTCCTATCTTACCACATTTAAAGGATTTAGCATTACGAAATGCACATGAATTACGAGGATGAAAGTTTCCACATGATAAACATTTACCAAACTTCATCTCACATTTGTGATTTGTTTTGTAATCTCATGTTGAAAAACCTTTCATATTTACACGAGAATAGGAATCGCCGTTAAATGAACGCAAGTTTGATTGACCCTGAGATTGTAGTTCATCATGACGACTAAGCAAAGTATTAGAAATCTTCATCGACTGGATATCAAGTTCATTCACTGCTTCATAGTTAATACACGCAGTTCTAGCATCTTGAAAGGAACAGTTTGGCATTCTTAACAGCTCTCTTTCCAAACTTGGCATGTTAATTCCTGCAATTAATCGATCTCTCAATCGCACATGAAGTTGATCACCGAAATTACACTTGGCAGCTTGTTTTTGCAATTCAAGGATGAATTCCCAAACGTTTTGATCATTTTGACGAACCATCTTATGAAATTTTGCTCTTTCACGGCATTTAAAACTGGTGCATTTTACATGATTTATTAATAGCTCCTTAAAAGTTGCATAAGGAAGTGAGATAGGTTTTTCTGGATATTCCAAAGATTTTAATAAGCTGTACGCTTCTCTCACAATGAATGTCGGGAAATGTGCCACAATTTTATCACCTTTAACATTTTTCTTAGTCATGCTC